AATGTCCTTTCGTCCCCCCTATAGTATTCATTATTTGTCTTTATGTAAAGTACAATATAAAAAGTAGGTCTTCAACATGTAGGGATCAGTGATTTTTACTTCAAATGATTGTATGATATAAAACACCCATCTGATATCGTTCTGCATCAGTCCAGAGCACACTCTCTTGTTTATTGTAACTTTTGTTTTCTGATGTCACCCTCAACAGAGAGCAGGCCAATGGGAAACTAGGCCTCTCAGACAGCAGTGAGAAGATGTGTCAGGTCACATTAGCTCCAGCAATAATGCACACTCACAGAAACACACGCACATGTGGACATGCATAAACGGTACATGTACTATTCTCTCTTACTGTCACACACAGACACATGTGACACACAGATAAACATGTAGGAACATACAGTCAGACATAACCAATATGAAACCAAGATTTATTTTCTGCCTGTTTTCTTTTTTCTAAGATGAAGCTTAAGCTCTTTCAAACAACAGCTGTAAGCATTTATATAATCTACAACCTAACCATGTTGTATCTCTGTCAAGAACGTTATGTTAACAGTTTGGTTTCTCTTTTTCTCAGCAGGGTTAAGGTGAAACTGCTCATTTCAAAGAAACTTGGTGCAAGGGTGTAGCATGGGCCAGGAACCAATTGTATTTAGGAGTGGATCTGAATCACAGGAAACATACATGTGTTATTGAACTTTTGTGAAAAGCCTTGGAATAAGTCTGTGAGGGCCCTTTATAGTTTATCTTATCATTTTGGACACACTTGAAAAGATGTCCTATGTTGCTCACCCAGTTTGTGGTTGTCGTCTGTTCCAGGTGAGCCAGAGAGAGATGGGTGAGGAGGGGGACCCACGCGGGTGAAGCCCTCTGCTCCACTGGGACCCGGCCCATCAGAGGAGGGGCCATGGGCGACTGAGGCAGGGCCTGACTTACGGGCAGGGATGGCTGTCAAGAACATATACACTGACATTTATAGATAGAAAGTTGTGAAGATTTGTATTTTTATAGTGTTCTGTGAACTAAAAACAATTGTGTCAAATCCTGTTGTTTTTGGAACATACATTGAAACTTCTGTTGAGTGTATTGGTTTACTCTTTTTTCAGATCTCTTTCTGTTCCACTCAGTTTCATGTCTTTACCTGGAGGCGGCAGATAGCCATGGAAGAGAACGCTACCACAAGAAGAGCGGTCCAGTTCCTCACACAGCAGCAGGCGCCGTACTACACACACACACAAATACACACACACAATTCCATGAGCCCCTGATGACCAGAGAAGCTTATTACTTATTAATACTTATGTAATTTCTGCAAAACATACAAATTAAAACACTTGTAATGCTTGAAATAATGCAATGCGTTTTTTTATGGATTTTAAACATCATACTCCAATTATTTGTGGTGTACGGTCTTTAACATTTTAAGTTATTGTTATTCATGTTAATCATAAAGTTCATGACCTATAAAATACTGTTTTTGAGTTGAGGGCATTGTCTATGATTTCAATTCTATGTGATATTTTGCAGTGTATTGTAATGTAATGCTGTTTATTTGATGATTTTAAGCAGGTGATCAGTTTACACAAAAGGTAACTTTCCCATTGAGGCTCAGACAATGCAGGGAAGTTACAAAGACTGAAACAGGAAGTTTAACCACATTAGAGCACATGGAAACAACGGTAATAAGGTTTTGACCCTGGTCAGGTGGCCTTTGAAGCCAAAACAACATTTTATGTTACACAGAAAAGTTTCCCTTGTAATATATCATTACATTATTTTTGTTTACTTTTACTACATTTGTTCAAATTGCACCACAAAAAGCCCAGCTGGTACACACTACCTGGTGATGATGACATGTAGCGACCAAAAAGTTGGCCACAGAACAAACTTGATACAACACAGCAGCATTATGTTTGTGCTTGATAAGGCTGCTACCTCCATTTCCTCAACAGAAAAAAAGCTCTGTAAAGCAACACACCTAAAGGCGTTATCCCGTAAAACTCTGCTTCATGTCGCAGGACGCTGATGTTGACACCCCTAAAGAGAAAAACACAGCAGAAGTATTAAGTGAGACTGGTTACTACTTAAACATAATGTTTTGTTGAAGTAAACATTTAGTGAAATATCTGAATATTCTGATGTCTTCTTACCGCAGGTCCAATTCTTTGGTTCTTAGGAAATTCAGAATTGGTGCAAAAGCTGTGGGGTCTCGGTCTATAAATATCTGTGGGTGGAGAAACATCCTTACTGACATTGAAATAATTTAAAAAGTGAATTTGTAATAAAAAAAAAAACATAATTTCACAATAGGAAAGGGGATTAAATGTGATGACACATTCTTTTTATTTTATATGGTCTCAAACTGTACAATTTCTTAGCTTAAGCATACACGTATAATATAAGGGTCATGCATCATATTTTTCAGCAGATAATGTCCTATCAGCTGGAAGCTTTTAGAGAATGATTATGTGTTGCCCGCAGAGACTGTCCTAGTTTTTTTCAATAAGGAGCAACAAAGGCTATACTTACAGCTCCAGTTTCATCCCGAAGAGTGGATATCCTTCCACTCAGCAAACTGGAAATTACACACACACACACAGTACTCCAGTTAACCCTATGACTTGTCCTGTTTCACTTATTTGCACACTGACTTTTACATGTTGACTCTATACTACAGATTAGTGCTGCATCAGCATGTCTGAAAGTGTGTATGAAGAATGTCTTCATATTGACTGTACACTGCAGACAGCTGGGGGCACAGAGACTGACAGGCAGGCAGGCAGACAGGTGCTGTGGCAGGCAGACAGGTGCTCTGGCAGATAGACAGACAGATAGCACTACTTGGTCAGTTGTTGTCAAACTGTGAGCTCACTCCTGTGTTTGAGTTTGTTCCAATTGTGGTATTTGCCCAGCCCCTATCGGCTATTTCCCTTTAACTGTGGTTTCCCCTCACACCTAAATAACTCACTATATATAAAGCGGACCACATTTGTAATCCCCTGACATTTACAATCACCAGAATGTTGGAAGTATGAAGCAAGACAGGGACGAGATAATGGAACATCAGTACTTAACATTAATTATGTAATACAAGTTTTGTTTTATGGGTTTGCATGAGCACGCTAGCACGCTCACTGAGCTTCGATCTGTTTTTGGTGAAACTCATACATGCCATAGCAATCTTGCAGTTTAATTAGCTCTACTTTCAAGAGGTTGTCTAGACATGTTATAGTTTCTCAATTACAATTTCAAAGTTGTCAGGTTCACGTCTGCTTAAAAATATGAACAGTATGTGTTAAAAATTGACTTATTGCAGAAGTCTGTCTGTATTAATTTTTTCCTTCTTTATTATACACAGCCAGATACTTCTAATAATTAATACTCTTAAACTGCACTTATGTAGCCAGTGTTTCAATTGCTTTTTTTTAATTTCTAACACTTCCCAAAGAGTCAATTTTGTTTCATGCATCATCTGTTTTTGAAGAGAGTCCAATAAATCCACCTTGAGAAGAAAGAGTCTGGGATCCACATCAGAGTCTGTCTGGAGGTGCTGAACCTAAGATATAAAGACACAATAGCACAATCATTACAAACACTGGGAGAAGGAAAATGTAGGGTCCGTTCACTCTTTGGCATGACAATATTAGATGGTAATGGCATGCCAGAAAAGGAATTGCCTTGTAGATGTACAGTAGCCTAAGGTCAAATTAAATGAGAGTGAATAGTGCATATATAATAAGGACATAACCTTGAGTGCTGTATCTACTTCAGCTACAACCATGACTGCTTGACCATAAATATTGCAAATATCATCATACACGTAGGTAGACAGAGCTCAATGTCCCAATGACGACCATCATCTGTCCTGTTGATGATTACCTTGTCCCACCGACATTTAGCTGAATGATCTCTCCCATCCCAGGCGTTAAGTTGATGCCATTCGTAGCCATGATGACCGAGCCACTGGGTTGTTGTACGGGAAAGTCACTGTTTCGTTATAATTGTTACTGTCACGACGACAGCTAGCTTGCTAACACTCCTCAGCCCAGCCGATGTCCCGTCTGTCCCCAGCCTCACAACCTCTCCTTCGTCCCACCTTCCATTAAATATAAACGATCTATACGGACAGCCTCGGTATCTTGAAGCCTCCGCATAGTGGGCGAGGGGAAACAGGGGGCCTTTTTATCCAAAAGGCAGCCACACAACAATTCCTTTATTTTCCAGCGAGCTAGTTTGCATCACTGCCTTGCATGTAAATCGTGGATAACATCTTGCGCAGAATATTAGCAACGTGAAACAGCTGTACAAACCGTATACAAATTAGGCGAGAGCGTTCACCTCTGACAACTTCCGGTTTCGCCTAAACGACAGATATTGAACCCCTAGAAACTTATTTTGTAGGGAAAATGAATACTTAAAATAGGAATTCTGCATTAAATATAATCGGTTAGTGGTTAGTGAAATCGCTTTGTCAGATATAGACACTTTACATAGATGTAACAGTAGGCCCTTAGGCTAACTGCAACCTTCAGAGAGCATTATGGACGTGAACTATCTTGGTCGCTCTTTTATCAGTTCAACATCAGACCCAAATGGACTTGAGAGCGCTTGATTTTAGTAAAATAACACTTGGACGGCAACTGTACTTAAAAGGGACAGAAAACGTACTATATTCACTTTTCTTCTCTCCGGGGTTTTGTAGTGCACCAATTCAATGATATAATGGTTTAATACGTTGCGTTGCTAGAGTTAAAGCTTTAAAAAAAGTATTATGTGGTCGACTTTACAGACTGTGATATACCTTTAAAGCATTGTTTGAATATAATAATAATAATATAGCACTACTAAAGGGAAACATTTACCCTGGTATTCAATGTAATTTTATCATTCAAACTTAATTTATTCTGCTTATGTTGGTGGGCTGGTGGGGGTAACTCTACACCGCTGCGTTTTCTGCACGCAAACAAGCGCTCCTTAACTCCAGCCCCGCCCCTCCCACTTCTGCTCAGAGAACTTGAAACCCAACAACATATTTTATGACGAACAAGCTAGCATTTTTGGCTTATGGCATCTTTTTTTACTGCTTTTCCATCAGTATGTAAACCAAGGCTATTTTATCCAAGGTAGTTTTCTGTTCCACGGTGAGTTTTTTTAAACTTTGGGCTAGCTATTTGTTTATTTACCTTTTATTAGCATGTTAGCCGAGGGAAAAGTTAGCACATAACTGGTAGGCTGAACTTCTCCTAGCTAGCGTTGAACATTAGCATGAGCCTTCTGAAGCTAAATTAGCTACAACAGCTTGTCAGTTTTCACTAGTTAATGTTTAGTGTCCTGTAAACGCCAACTCTCTGCCTCTGAGTCTAAGCTAGGTCACCAATACACTTCCCCTCTCAGTAGGTAACGTTAGGTAGGCTAGTTGGTAAAACACTAATGTACGTTAGAAGATATCAGTGGTGTAAAGTAGATTTACTCAAGTACTGTACTAATGTACAATTTGTAGGTACTTTAATTGAGTATTTACATGTTCTGCTACGTTGTACTTCTACCCCCACTACAATTCAGAGGTAAATATTGTACTTTTACTACACTACATATATTAAATACCTTTAGTTACTTCGCAAATTTGGATTAATGATGTGAAATATAATCAACACTTAAATGAGGCTTTGGTTACACCTGGAGTAAATTCATTAGCTACCCTGCCGTATACAAAGTCATTACAATAGGCTGTACTTTTACCAGCTTTGATAACATTTTAATGGGTCAATAACTATAATCAAAATATATATATGTTATTCTGAAATGGGACAATCTGCATAATGAGTAAGTTTACTTATGGTACTTTAAGTATATTTTCATGCTAATAGCTCTTTATTTTTACTTGATTCATATTTTGATTGTTGGACCTATACTTGTAACACTGTATAACTACACTCTGGTAGTTCTACTTTTACTTAAGTACAAGATCAGAGTACTTAAGGTACGATGAGATAATAATGTATTGTCAGATCAAGTCTGACCTTTGTCTTGCATCACAGCTGCCCCATTTGCATCAACATCAAACGAGGACAAATATTAAGACACAATACAAGGAAAACAAACATTTAACATCACATCACAATCTCTGAAGAGAAAACATGCTCGAGACCCTCTAACGTACATTTGACCTGGGATTTTACTCTGTATTAAACATACTTCTTCCACCTCTAAAAAATATTATTATAACGTGTAGCCCAATGATTTCAAATCTAAGCATGTCATTTGTTTACAGCCCTCCCTCCTTGAGCTTTACCTCGTTTAAGCCAGGACAGAGAAGAACATGGATGTGTGACGAGCTCAAACAGAGAGGAGAAAGCAAGGACGAGGCTTCCTATCATTCGCTGGGAGCTTAGGGAAGGAAAGGCTGCCAGCATTCAAGTTGTGTCATGATGTCGGAGGCCGAGGAGTTAGGAGCTCCAGGCACAGAGGGAAACAAGCCAAATGTCACGACAGGACACATGCCTAGTAGTATTCAACAGGTAGAAGCATCTGTTGCTTCGCCCGTGGCCCCCATACAGCCCCACACCACCACTGCAACTGAGGATGATGATGAGAGCGAAGATGAGTCGGAAATCCTGGAGGAGAGTCCGTGTGGCCGCTGGCAGAAACGCAGAGAAGAGGTAAGGGCGGTCAGGAAGCTTCACTCTGATGGTTGAAGTGGAAATGATGGACAAAGTTTGAACTGTCCGACACAGTCATTGATTCAAAAGATGACACATCACGTTTTAAGGGAATTACCAAAGTCCTGAAGCTTAGTTGATTAGATCAATGGATGCTGGAATATTTTTAAATGAAGATCATATCACTTTTTCAACATAAAAAGAACAACCTGCTCCAACATAATTTTCAAATTGCTATATTTTTAAATATATATATTAATTTCGCACTATAGTCAAATATCTATACATATTCAACATTATCTATTTAATAATATATTTATGTTTTCTCCTCACAAATTGGTCTTTAGTGAAGAATATTGTTACGGAGATTTCCAAAACTCAATTATATCTGGTGGGAGTTATTTTCAAGCGTTGTGTTTAGTTATAATATTCCGTGTGTTTGGTACAAGCATCTCATCATCATGTCAGCTCAAACCGGAAAAGTATAGCAGACACTGTTTGCCATTCAACCGTTTCAGTGTCTTTTGTTTCAGTATTAAAATATATTGTCCCCTAAGCTATTCTTCACTTTTCCTGTAGGTGAACCAGCGTAATGTCCCAGGGATCGATGCTGCGTACCTGGCCATGGACACAGAGGAAGGCGTAGAGGTAGTGTGGAACGAAGTCATGATCTCCGAGAGGAAGAACTTCAAATTGCTGGAGGTGAGGCCAGTAACGGAAGAAAAAGGGTACAAGTATTGCTACGGTGTGGTGGGAAAGTGATAAATCATTAATGATTACAGATGTTTTAGCCTTAGTACTTCATTCACATATACAGGATCAAAAAAATGAATAAAGAATAACGAGGTAAAACGTATTCACTACAGTGTATACAAACACGTTCTTGTTGTTATAATGACGCAGTGTGGTCTGTAATGTGGAGAAACCAGTGTTAAGCAATTTCAGTAAAATGTAATAGCTACACTGCCTTATAGAACCACCATGTCATTTGAATGCACTATAACATTGACATAATATTTTAAGTATCATACATTTGGACAGTCCTTCATATACTGTTGCATTAAATGGGCTCATCTACATTTTTCAGAAAAGTAACGAGTGGTAGGAATGTCTTTGACTTATCAAAGGAAGACATTCCTACCTTTTGTAAAAAGTATTTAAAAAATGCCTCTTGTCCTGCTGTTATAAGAAGGTACTCACTGTCCAGGTTAACGTAACCATGTGCAGGTTAATAGTGTCACATCATGTCTGGCTCTGTGTTGTATCGGGTTGCAGAAGCTTGAGCTAGGAAGTATTTAGCATTTTTCTTAAAATATTTGTTGTATTGACTAATCGATTCATGTATGTTTTATTTGTATTATCACTGCTATTGTGAGTTCACTGTTGTCACCCCTTGGCTTGCTAGGAAAACTACCAGAAGGTCAAAACTGTGGAAATGTGTACTTTGTTTACATAAATAGTTCTGCCAGATATACAACCATCTACCCATTGGTCAGGCAAACGTCAAGTCAAATCAGAGTGTGTTTTTTATTTTCATAGCAATATGACATATTATTATACTTTACTATATTTTGTTTTTTCTATGTTTTCAGGAGAAAGTGAAAGCAGTGTTTGATAACCTGATCAATTTGGAACATGCTAATATCGTCAAGTTTCACAAGTACTGGGCCGACAACAAGGAGAACCGGGCCAGGGTGAGTCTCACTCTCAGACCTGACAAACCAACAATTGTCAACATATGAATGTTATTGAATCATCCTTCTGTCTTCATTTGTAAAATCTTCAATTTTAAAGATTCAAAAAAGTATTTGAGCATCTTTTTTATTTAAATTTGAATGATATCTTCCGAAGCATTTCCCCCTCATTTCTTTCCTCTCTTTCAGGTGATTTTCATTACTGAATATATGTCATCAGGAAGCTTGAAGCAGTTTCTAAAAAAGACAAAGAAGAATCATAAAGCCATGAATGAAAAGGTAAGAATTGGCTGTATGTAATGTTTCCCTAATAGAATAATGGTGCATGAAAGTCAGCATATTATGTGAAAAGTGACAGACCCTGTATCAGTAATATTGATAAGGTCATCTTTCCAAAGCTAGGACCAATCTGCCAGATGGCAAGAGAGAGAAAGCATTTTAAAATACATTGTGTACCAGTTTAAGCAAAGTCAAATGACATGATGCAAGTCATTGTTACTCCATATTGGAAACCAACATGTAAGCGCTCTGATAAGATGTATGGTCCTACAGGCTTGGAAGAGATGGTGCACACAGATCCTGTCTGCTCTCAGGTTGGTTTCACCTTATTTTAGACATCCAGGACACATGTTAAGTATAAGAATAATGAAGTCGTCTGTATTTGTGAATGTTGTTTTTTCTTGACTGCAGTTACCTCCACTCATGTGACCCTCCCATCCTCCATGGCAACCTGACCTGTGACACCATCTTCATCCAACACAACGGGCTCATCAAGATCGGATCAGGTATACAGTTACGCAAGTTTCACTTAAGGGTTAGGTAGTGATGGAGTCAGATGATACTGAATTATGGATTTAAAGACTGGACATTTCAGGGAAGTTCCGTTATTACACAGTGCTAGTTTTGCGAGTCTCATCAGGCTTTGTAACTTAACAATCATTACAAAGTATCCTGCAAGTCAATTAGCTTCAACTATCCAAACCATTTAGGTGCCGGTGCATTAGCTTTAATACGCCAAAACATCTTGGGATCCAGTATTATGTGTCAAAAGTAATGAATACAACCCTTTTCTCATGTACCAAAAACAATTATGATACTCTAAGACATTGTAGTTTTCATTGTGAGCCATTTTGTTGCAAGCCTTGTTTTACATCTCAAGTAGACACTATTTTCAATAAGGATACCTTCTTGATGTTCTTTCGAGCTTAAATAAATAGGTAGATGTCGACAAAAGGTGTGTGGAATAAACTATTATTGTGTGTACAATGACTCCATGTCCACTTATCTCTCTGTTCTCCATCCTACTTCTTTATTTCCTTCATATGCTCCCCTCCTGTCACATCTGCAGTTGCTCCAGACACCATCAACAACCACGTGAAGACGTGTCACGAGGAACAGAAGAACTTGCACTTCTATGCCCCAGAATATGGAGGTAGACATGACTGAAATTACACTTTACATTTATTTCTATTTAAACTGAAATCCACATGTTTCTGGATGATACGAATCATTTGATATCATTAAAGGATATAACTGCATTAAAGGACTCTTGAATACATCCATTGAAAGTGTTTAGCTTCAGACAAAATGGCAGCTTAAATCAACACAGCATAATAGATGGTATTGAACAATTTCTTAGTATCATGAATACAACAGATATGTCTGAATGTTGACTGAACACAATACGCTCAAAGGCTTTGTTCCAATAAAATAATCAAATATTGATTTATATCAGGAAAAAATCTAATTCTAAGACGAAAAAAACAATATATAATATAACAAGTGAATATCCGTACATATTTCTTCTTTCTTTTCCTTCTCTCATTGTAGCTGACGATATCACCACGGCGGTGGACATCTACTCGTTTGGCATGTGTGCCTTAGAGGTGAGATGGGACCTATGATACATGATAGCCCTTTCTTAAAACAATATGCTAATGTGTGTGTCGGTGTGTTTCAGATGGCGCTCTTGGAAATCCAGGGGAATGGAGAGTCCTCTTTAGTTTCTCCGGAAGCCATCAACAATGCCATACAGTTTCTGGAGGACCCACTGCAGAGGGTGAGAGAAAGAGTGGAGTGTGTGTTTATGTTCATGAGTATCCTGAAAGATCATACCAGATTCATCTGTGTGTGTGTGTGTGTGTGTGTGTGTGTTATTGGGTCTCAATGTTTATTTGAAAGTCCCATTTGTGTATACATGACTTTCGTCTAGAAGTGTGTGACCTTTTATGTTTGTTTTTGTAGGAGCTAATCCAGAAGTGCCTCGAGTCTGATCCGAGTATGAGACCTACAGCCCGAGAGCTGCTGTTTAACCAAGCTCTGTTCGAAGTACCGCTGCTAAAGCTGCTGGCTGCTCATTGCATAGTCAGCCACCACCGTGAGTGTTTAACATACACGTACAGAATACACAGAATAACAGATTGAGTCATTCTGATTAGCTTTTATTAGCATGCTATGGTTAATAAGAAGAAACCATCCATTGTATTTGCAATGGACAGGAGGGTTATGTGTAATGTAAAAGTAGTAGTCATAGTTTCCCTACGACAACAAGCGGGAGTTTGGAAAAAGTGACTAACTGGGGAAGAAAGTGGAACATCCTGCAGGCTTAGGAGCCAGAAATGATTCAGGGTTGGTGAAGCCAACAAAACATAATTTATAAAAAGAGTAAAAAATGTACTTGCAATAATAAAGGAATAAAGTGTCAGAGTACATAGGGCTGTGCGATTACAGCAAAAATCATAATCACGATTATTTTGGTCAATAATTGATATCACGATTATTAAAAAACGATTATCCATTTACTTTGAAAACATCCATTTATTGAAAAAAAAAAAAGTGATCAGTATGTTTTTAACAGTTGATTACCCTGAACTTTAAGTATAATTCAACTGAAAAAATAATTACTTTTTTTTTTTTTTAAATAAAAATAATAATCGTTTTATTTCGATTACGTTGTTTTCGTAATAGCTGCAAGCCAAAATCGTAATCGAGATTAAAATACGATTAATTGCACAGCCCTAAGAGTACATTGTTAGTCAGAGGAATCTGTGCATCCAAGTGGACGGAGCAATCAATGATGCAGATTTAAATATAGTTTTTTTACTGGTGTTGTATATTTACCTTGCACTGGTGAATACTGTCATTACATATACAGCTTGACCTAGAACATCAATAAAACACATTATTCAAACTAAATCACAGTTGGAAACTATGCAATCCAACACGTACAAAATCACAAACACAAATGTAACTCAAAGTGGGTTATCCCTTCACAAGACTTGCTACCTTTCACATATCATCAGATCAAATACTACCTATGAAAGAAGTTTAGTTTTAAAGGGATGTGTTTTAACAACCAGCATCACATCATTCATTCTTAAATGTTTATTATTGTCCAGACATGATTCCTGAAAATGCCCTGGAGGAGATTACCAAGAACCTGGATCCTAACCTGGTCATCGCCGAGAAGAAAGAAGGCATTCAGCTCAAGTAAGTTTCCACTATCGAGTGTCAACAGCATTCATGTCGTTTTTTCATTCTGAATATGTTTGGTACAGGAACATGTCTTTTAATTGAATAGGATAAAACAAAGACAAATGTAAGTTATTATATTAACAGTCATTGTTACTACTGGGTTTTTCTATACTTATACATAGTAAATCCTGAAATTGTGAATATAACCTATATACATTTGAGGTGTAAAGACCTTTGACTGTTGTTTGTGTTTTCTGTAGGCTTTCCCATTTTCCTGCTTTGGAGCTTGATAAATTCCTGGAGGATGTGAGGTAAGAGGCACAGGCGGAGAGCAGCAACAGCGTGAACAAGCGTTACTCTCAATGTATTTAGGCTCCAAAGAAAAAACCCATCTGGCCACAGGGGGGGAGTATAGGACCATCTGACTAGTGTGCGTCTGCCATCATCTTTTAATGATGTCCCGCCCATCTACTTCCGCCCCATGGGACCTTATTTCTGAAAAACTATGTATTGAAGTCAATGGGGAGAGAACACGTATCTCTCGATCCCGTTTGAATTGTGCCACGAATTACACATATGATGTTTGTCAATCTTAAAAAATAATTTCCATGTAAAAAGTCACAGTTTGTCGTAAAACTGTTGAAATATAAGACTATGAAAAATATGCAACTAGAAAGACTACAAATCCCAGTTTCCGGGTCCCGCATGCTGGCTCTTACGGAACCGACTAACTCCCCTTGTGTGTATGTACAGCTCTCAACATGCCCAGACTTGGAGTGATTTTCACCTCTTTGAATACTTTTCGCCTCATTCTGAAAGAAAGAAGTGAAATGTGCCAACGTGACGGCCGTCTTGGTGTGTGGTGCGAGACGGGAGATGTAGTTCATCGAGCGGTTTCACACAAAAAAAAGTGTTACTTCACATTTTTACGACACGTTTTTATTTTTTTGACTTGTAAAATTATCTTTTAAATTGACAAACATCATATGTGTAATTCGTGGCTCAATTCAAACGGGATCGAAAGATAATCTTTCTCTCTCCATTGACTTCAATACATAATTTTTCCAAAATAAGGTCCCATGGAGGTCCCCCGGAAAGGGAGGGACTTCGCCTCTCTATCTGAATCCAGCACCCTACTTAAACATTTGTCATGCACTTTTCAAACTTTTTGGGGTTTATTTAAATATAAAATACTTTTTCCTCATGATCTTTGGCCACTCTTCATTCAGTTCTGCAAGTCTCCATCTCGGCTTCATGTTTTTCCTGCTCACATATTTGTATTTGTACTAGTGTTATAATATTTATCCTTCGTTGATATGTAATCATGGCCACAGGTAGACCAAGCTTTTAAAGAATGAAGAGGAAATCCTTATTTTTTCTAATTTGTTAGTTTGGTAGAACACATTTTTCACTTTCAAAATGTTGACTATAAGGAGAGGAAAACAAAGTCCATATATTAAAACATTTCTTAATTTCCATTATCGTTTCCATCTCCTCTTTCTCTCTCCTCTCTCATTCTCCCTTTCTCTGATGTTTTCTCCACCTCCACCTGCCTTTGTTTCTTCCTCCCTTTCTCTCTGGATCAGAAACGGTATTTATCCGATGACTGCGTTCGGGGTGCCCTCTCATCAGCCTCAACAGGAGACGGTTAAATCTCCCGTTGTCGTCCCCTTGGTCAAATCCCCCACCCCTGAACCGACAGAATTGGAGACACGGCGGGTACGTACAGGAGATTATATTGCATATTACAAAAGTTAAAAAAACACTCGCAATGGTGACGCTCCACAAGGGACAATCCTCATTTCTTGTTGAGTAACTCAGTTATATAAAAACTCAAATGCAAGGGAGATCTTTTTTTCTGGTGATTCATTTCTAATTGATTTCTCTACTGCATTAATGATGAGCGAATGTGAAAAAGACATTCCTCTCTATCTATATCAATATCTCGGTAAATCTTTATTGTTCATCTTATAACAGAAAAAAGGGACCTTTGTAAGATTGTTCTAGCAAGACCTTTTTTTCACCAGTTTTTAAGTTAACAACACAAAAGTGAATCAATTAGATGAGACTTAGAAAATGGTTAACCAGAATTTGTGTTCACTTTCACCTCAGGGCTTCAGTAGGATCAATACATAGGAATACTGTATTTCTTCTGGAGTAAACAACTGTTGTGAAATCAATTAGTTGCCAACTGCTCCTATTTAAACTCCCTAACTTCTTCTGCAGGTCATTCAGATGCAGTGTAACGTTGAATCTGTCGAGGAGGGAGCAAGGTATCATGTAAGTCTCTGCAGTAGAATTTATAAGTTAATCTTTTATTGTTTCACTAATTAAACGTTTAAAAAATGTGTTTCCCCCATTGAGTAACAACTTGATATAATTCCAGATCCTTTTTTTCTACCATACAGAAGTAAATTACAGGGTTCTTACGGTCATTAAAAACCTGGAAAAGTCATGGAAATTCAAAATGCTAATTCCAGACCCTGGAAAAGTTATGGAAAACAATATTTTAATGGAAATGTAACTAAAGTTGCATCAAATATAATTTATATTTTATCTAATCACCAAAATAGTAACACTATAATGATAATAAATACTGTATCGTATAGTAATGAAACGTAAAATGGCATTTAACTGTCGAGGTGTTTTGCTGGTGAGAGATTTTAGTTGCTTTAGCGTGTAGAAGCTAGTAAGCCTACTATTTGATTTGTTTTAGATAGGCACAACATGTTTCATATGCAAACCTTATTTCCCTGTTCCATGTTAAAATAAACCATTTTCAGTGGTACCGCTGAGAAAGAGTAATTTTTTTGGTCATGAAAAATTAGGTAAAGGTCATGGAGAAGTCATTGAAAATCATTGGTGAAAAAGTGTATGAACCCTGAAATGAATAATAATAATAATGTCGTCTTTCTCTCTTTTTTAGCTAACATTGCTGCTGAAACTGGATGATAAACTGAATAGACATCTAAGCTGTGACATGTTATCTCGTAAGTCCACCTATCCTATAACACACTGACTCTTAATCACTCTGTTGGTTTCAATATACAGTCACTCGTTTATTTATAGCGCACCCACATCAAAAATGTCCACAGTCAAGTTGTATTTCATCAGAACTACACTGTGAGGATTAATTGAGGTGCTCAATTGGGAAAGGTAGGGTAGGTAAGAATGGAGAAACCAGCTCAAGTGCGCTCGAATTTGAAAGTACACAACCGGAAAAAATCTGCCCCTTCCTTCAGACTTCCTTACAGAGCCCCTCCTCCAACACACACGAACGCGCACATGACCAATGAGGGCACGAGATAAGTTTGTGCACAGATGGAAGGCTGACAGGCAGGTAGGCCATCCAGTTATTTTAGCCGGGCCGGCTAAAATGATTGGTCGTACTTTTTACAGCGCTACGGCTTCCACAGATGACATTTTTTAAATGTATTTATTGTCAAAGCATTTAATTTATTCATTGCTATCGGGATGTTAAGAGCATTCCATGGAATATAACACAAAGTGTTTCTGAAGTGAATTACCTACCCCACCTTTAAGGGCAGAATATTTTTAATCAACAAGCTTTTGAAACGACCTTTGACATTTCCAACCAGTTAATATTACAATGGCTCCTGCAATTAGACGATCATTTGATATTGTTGGAAGGCGTGTCGTGCATGAGGGAGATTAGGGCTAGCAAAGAGGATTAGGTGTGTGTGTGTGTGTGTGTGTGTGTGTGTGTGTGTGTGTGTGTGTGTGTGTGTGTGTGTGTGTGTGTGTGTGTGTGTGTGTGTGTGTGTGTGTGTGTGTGTGTGTGTGTGTGTGTGTGTGTTGTGTGTTGTGTGTGTGTGTGTGTGTGTGTGTGTGTGTGTGTGTGTGTGTGTGGTGTGTGTGTGTGTGTGTGTGTGTGTGTGTGTGTGTGTGTGTGTGTGTGTGTGGTGTGTGTGGTGTGTGTGTGTGTGTGTGGTGTGTGTGTGTGTGTGTGTGTGTGTGTGTGTGTGTGTGTGTGTGTGTGGTGTGTGTGTGTGTGTGTGTGTGTGTGTCCTTCTGAATGTGTGTAAAATAGCAATACAAGAATGGCTACATTATTTTCCTTATGGAGTTGAATACACACACACACATCAACAAGAAGAATCCTTCCCTCTGAAGGATTCTTGTTGATGTGCGTGTATTTTTTGGACAAACGCCTTCAAAGTAGGAAGGTTTTTATAAAGTGTGGTCATTTTTTAAAATCTGAACAGTTTATGTTTACAGCTTGGGTTTGGAGTTAATGATATAATTATATTTGACTTCAGGGGATGATAAATGATGGAGTTATGTCCGTATGAATTACTTCAAGTCTACTTCACTCTCAGATTTTACCACACACAGTTTTAATACACATTTCCTCTCAATATGTGTGCACTGAGGCATGTTGGAAAGTGAGAGTGAGATTCCAGAGAGAGCCTGAAACGCGGATGGCGTCACAATATGCACAACTATTTTAGGCAGGGAGACTAACTGTCGCTTATGTGTCATCAAAACCTTGCACCTCTATTTTGGACAAATGTCTTATTTATTATAATTACATTCTGGAATGTTTTTTTTCATGAACCTACCATTGTTGACCAAATATTGATTGCACAATGTAATGACTACAGAAAAATGACACCATCAGAGTTGGGGTTAGTTCCTAAAACGTCTCGCTTCCACTCTGTAACTCTGCATGCCACCTGGTATGATCTCTAGGGAACAGAAAGGCTCGGTTTACGGCTCAAAGGATTGCGCCTTTTTTTTCTTCCCTGTAGCTATCAGCAGCTTTTCCCAGCTACAAAAGAGTGTTAATGTAAGGTCTTTACAATGACTATCCCTCCTTATGTAAACTGTGGATGGTGAAACAACCAGAATAAGTTTGGAAAACAAAACCCCTTATGTGGTCTGTTGGTGGCAGTTGATACGCTCTGAAGAAAATGGTTTCCTGGTTGTACTTTGGACAGTACGGGGTTGATAAGTTGTTTCTTAAAACTTTAACTATAACTTTCCTTGGCAACACATTTTGAAGGTTTTACTGAGTTATCTAAATTAATTAATTTGAAATTCAGGCTTTCCTAAATTGTTTAACTGTCATAAAGCTGACTAGAAACCCAGAAAAACACAACTGTTGCAATGGTCAAACTAATGTTGGCAGTATGATCCAGTGTGCACACACACACTCAGGTATGGCAGGCATGTATAATGTTGCAGGCGTGCGGGGAATGCCTGGCCTGTGAGGGCTGCAGCTGACAGCTGTCACTTCCTCTGTCAAGATTAGCCCATCTCTTCCCAGGCTTTCATCTCCCTGTCTCTCACTCACACACATTCACTCAAATGTATCTCCTCAACTTTCTCACTCACACTCTTTCTCACTTCATGTGTATTTTTTTGCACGCTCACACATTAATACCACTGGCACACAGTGGTATTGGTCTATTATGTGTTACTTCTATTATAGGCACACCCTGTTGTCTTAGTAAACAGTCCGTCCTGCTGATATCGGGTTATTCTTTAAAGCATTACTTATCGACACGTCAAAGTCCAAAGTAACACTCTGCAGGGTCACTAGCTAACTGAGCCACTTAGATTTCACCCGATAGGCCTTTTGCTTCACTCTCATACACTTGAATTGAACCATATTTACAATTGAAGCTTTATTTCCTCAAAACCAAAAGGTAACGATGATTTTAAAGCAGACTACAAGATGGCAAAAAGCAAGGAATCCTCTCACTCGGCTATAATAGCAATATACATAGCCCTTTATCATTTATATGTGGGTGGGTGTTTTCTTTTCTTAGTGTTGGGTGGTCTATCTTCTCCACTTGTTTGTCTTGTCCCTGCCACATTCCTGATATAGTTGTAAATTGACAGCGAGGTTATTAAAAATCAGTAGACCATGACAACTCCTCTGATCACTGGGCACAGGAAAGGGAGGTAACTCAAATACAATTAAAATACCCCAAACAGGTCAGGGAATGAATAGAAGGTCATACAAGTTAAGTTTCAGAAGAAAGTAAACGTCACATTTTAATGTCAGGAATATCAGCTCAGGTTTTTTCTGAAAGCATTTTCCCAATGTTTTAGAAAACAGCATATGCTTTCATATTTTGTGCATTTATTTAAACATAGTTTACGTCAACATGAATTATAGTTTAACAAAGGGTAGTTAGTTCATATGGACGCTGAGGCAAACAACACTATCAGTGCATAATGTATTTAAAATTCCTGTCATAATACACATTTGATGAGCTACAGTTAAATGGGATTAATACGGCGCTTATTTGGAAACTTCTGACATGTTTGAAGATATTATACCTTTAACATCTATGAGCTATATACACTCCAACATGTAGGAAAGGAGAAGGGGTGTATGCAAGTCAATTCAGTTGTTAAGTCTTTATTAGCAAAGCTTAAGAGAAATATTAAAACATGTTTTAACAGATCTTACACTAATGAAGACGATGCTGGTTGAAACATGTCGGCTCTTTCATTTTCCTGCCAAATGAGTCCCATTCTAGACTCTCCTTTTATCTTTATTGGATATCCCTTAAGTTCTGCTTTGCCAGATATACACAGAAATAAAAATGGTACCATCATTGTTGTAGGGTGGGATGTGGATTTCAAAGCAGTATCTTGACCATATCTTCTGAATGTGGTATTTACCCTTAGTCTGCCTTTTTGAGCAGGAGTGTGTGTTATTATATTTGCATAATTCAAAGAGATACATTGTGTGACAGGTAGAGATGAGGATGAAAAAGGGATGTTACATGCCCATGGACTACTGTTAACTGTGCTGCTGTGTGTTTCAGATGAAAATGTTCAGGAGATGGCTGAAGAGTTGGTGCAGCTGGGCTTAATCAGTGAGGTGGGTCTTTTGTGCGAGAGAGATTTGCAATCAATGTGTGTGAGTCTCTGTGTGTTTGCTGTTGAAGAGCTGCAGGCAAGCGTGTGTGGGTGAGCGCGCTATTTCTGTATCAAACTGTGTGAAAATTCTGCAGATTTTATAAGGCGATGTGACCCGTGACTCCTACGTGCGGTGCCCTCTAACACAAACACCTTCTCCTCTAAGAGCTTAATGTACATTTACTGCTACATACGTACTCCTGTGCACTCTCACCTACCCACGTATATGTTATATAGTCACTTCATCACTCTGTCTGAGAGAGGATATGTAGGTTTTTTGTCTTAATGACTCACTCCTCTTAACGGTTATCTCCGATATTTTTACTTTATGCCTCATTTGTTCGACCAACTTGCATATTTGTAACTGTCTTTGCTGTTATGATTACCATATCTCTATTTTCTAACATATTGGTGTATGTGTTATTTGTAATATCCTGGGGTGTTGAACATGTTTGTGTTCTCTTTACAGGTGGACCAAAACAAAATAGCCTCCCTACTAGAAGAATCATTCAGCCAAGCTCTTCAATAGCAACCATTTCCTCCACGAAATACCTGTCCCCTCATTAGTACACTCTCTTAACCCTGTTACATCTTCTGTTTGGTTACTCAACATGGTGATTATATTTAGTGGGGTTTTTGTATTTTGTTCTTCTAAGCCTTAGGTGAAAATGTGACCAAAAGGGTGGGTTCTCTTCCTCTGCATCAGGGAATCAAACCTCCCCAAAGCACAGAAAACCTTTAACATACTGTCAAGCTAATTTCAGAGTCCAGTTTACTCCAAAGAAGCTCCCTGGACTGATATCACATTTTAGCTGTAAAAGTTAAGAACCATTTAAATCCATATGAGAGGATTTATTCTGAATGTGTTAGCTTTTACATTGGCTGTTAAATGTTAACCTCATTAATGCTGCAAAAGACACTTCATCACACCAGTACTGACTAGATTACTTAAAGTTAAAACCACTTTCTCCAAGCCGCAGATGTATTTTATTGTGAGGTGTTTACATAACGAATTGCCTGTTTGTGTTAGGATGAGACGGGCTAAAACGCCATCAAGTCTAATTCAAATATTCACTAGAGTCACTCCACCTTTCACTACTGTTGTACTTATAAACTTTAATGATCTCAAACCTATAGCACCCCTAACAAGCCAAGCCGTTCTTCCCCCTCATTTCATGTGAATCCCCCTCTCATTTTGTTTTGCCTTATGATTTTTGAACATTCCCGGCTCTTTGATTTTTGTGTTGTGTTTTTTTTTACCAACATGTCACCTATCAGGTTAAATATATATAAGAGTTTGAAAACTGGATGTGCAGAGATGCAACTTTTTCAGATAACTTGATAATTGACCTATACCCATGATAAATATTTTAAAAGCCTTTGATACAGAACATATTGTATGTGCACAGCTGGATATTACATTTTGGGTGGGCATCATGATGCCAGGTCTCTGGATGATGGTTACTTTGAGGTACTGTGAACTCAGTGTTACTGAATTTTCCGTTTGTGTGTTTGTTTTTATATTTTTGCTCTACTGTTTGCCTTATGCTGGACCTACGCACATGCCTTAAAGTCCTCTTTTCTCTGTTTGTTTTTATTATTTTATTCATAATTTTACCATTTGCTGCTTGTTGGGTTCACACATGCTCCTCTGCCTGTAAAATTCATTCATGTGAGACTTGTGTACTGAACTCGGCTGCCATATGCTGTAAAAAAGAGGACCTAGCCTTTTCCTGATACATCTATGTGAGATTTATTTATGTTACAGACACTGTATAGCATGTCTTTTTCTTATTTCTTTTTGTTTACTGTGATTAACACAGAGACCACATTGATGAGAGTCTGAGCCAATATACACTTCTATTGCTTGATTGATTTCATTTGATCACCATTCGGTTAAACTGGGACTTAGAGGGTTGATTTTCCTTCACAGAGTGCAGAGGCACCAACACTTGAATACAAAAGGTTACATCTTACATGTCATGTTGAGACTTGTATTGGGATCAGGGAGTTGCCTGTGGCCTTTTGTGACATTTTGGCTCAGAACTCTTTGTGGTCTACAGGTACTTTAGTGTCTCAAAGCCCATACAATTCAGGACCTTAAACAGCAGTAAGAATGCACATAAAAAATTACTTTCTCAGTATGTATTAAAAAAAACAGAAACGATACTATTCGATGCAAAAACTTACAATTGAGAATACATTTTACCAGTTGAATTGAATGCTTCTGTATTAGCTTTCAATCAGAGCTTACTTCTGTTGCTGAGCTGTATTGTTTAAGTAGTCACTTCACCAATTAGATCGTATTAATCCATTGATCTCCACTCAAATCTTTCTGTTTAAAAAAAAAAATTATTTGGGCAAAAATTGTTCTCCAATCTGCATTTTTACTAAAAAAACGTGCATTGTTTACTTTAGTTGTTCCTCTATTTGAATGTGTATCTGTGAACCTCTAAGATTGTATATTCCAAAGATATGTTTTAAAGTCAGCCAGTAGAATGTAAATGCATCGCTTCTTTTACAGAGAAGTGATAAAAACCAACCAATGTGATCACCAGACCAGCTTTATAAATCTCTTCCTCCACCTCTCTCTCTCTCGCTGTCTTTCCCACCCAAATTAATGGTGGTGTTGAAACTGGTTATTAAATAATCGTACAGGGTGGGCAGCTTTAGCCTGTCACTCAAGGATGTGAGCATATTTGTATATCCTTCTATTTTGTATATGACATAAGCGTCAGTAAATGTGTTTGTGTCTTTTCTGAGATGTGTATCCTGACAATATCTGTTCTTTCAAATAAATGTGTGAAATGCTCAACGTTGATGTTTTTAGATCCAAAAGACAGATTTACTGATTTCATTATCATGTTGCTGTTATCAGTGTTATGATTTCTCATCTAATAAGATTGCTTGCGACGATTTATAATGGTGGGATGTAATTATTCCTTACTTAATTACAAATTTGAGCTATTTAAGTATTTTACTTTTTGCTAAATTATAATTCTACTCCACTACATCTCAAAGGCAAATATTGTAGTTTTCAATCCATTTGTCTGACAGCTTCAGTTTCTGTATTAGCTTTCAGTCAGAGCTTACTTTTGTTGCTGAGATATATTTTTAAGTAGTCACTTCATCAATTGGATCATATCAATCCATTGATCTCCACTCAAATGTTTCTGTTTTTGTATTTGGGCTAAAATTGTTCTCCAATCTGCTTTTTTTTCAATTTATTTACAAATTACGGTTTTGCATCCACTTTTTTCCGAAAAAGCATATAACACCATATGAGTTGAATTGAAATTTGAATATACAAATATTTGTTGTTGGGGAAAATCTCCTTGTTAAGCAAATTTAACTCTCTTATTTCTAAAGTGTGCCTTTACAACTTTAACTTAAGGTGAATATCTGAATAGTTGCTCCTCCATTGTTTGTGAAATGCCAGAATTAAGATGCTCGAGGTAAATGATATGTCTGTTGCGCCCCTCAGCGTCCAGCCCGCCGCAGGTAATTCACAGGTGAGTCTTGACGTCATACAGGAAGTGGACAGAGGCACCGTTGACTTTCTGCTTCTGTGTTGTCGAGCAATTGTTGTGCTTGAAAATAACGGTCATTATATTTTTCAAAGGGAAGTGCCTGACAAAACGGAGAGATGTGCACTTTTGGTGAGTGTTTCTATCATGATTCCTACTTAGAAATCTCGCTTTTAACGTCATTAAGCCTGTCTGTCCGTCGCTGTATTTTCCCTCCACGGTACACTGACCGCAGGCCTGCAGGGAGGAGGATGGTTTCGATGTTCTAACTGCACATGTAACGTGTTGGTGCGCGTATAATAATAATTGCTCTGGTTTATACTTCGAGGAAATGAGCTGTCATCAGTCAAAAAGAAAGAGGATAATAATTAAAACGTTTTTAAAATATCACGTAGTAGGCCCATGCCCTCACTGCTTCTTCACATCTCTGTGACTCACAAGGAGTAGCTCACAGTCAGTGTGAGCCTTTCTATGCAAATGCATGTCCATCTCGAGCAGGTGTACTTGTTTCAGGCAAAACGAACAATAGTTTAAGAATAAGGACAGGTCTTGAGTTGATGCAAGTGTTAAATCTGTGATGTTTAATGTTTGAGAGCATAAAGCCGTTTCACAGGCAAATCATGTTGCATTTTGGTCTAATAGTTCAGTTTTATGAAGTCCTTTTGATGATGTTGATAAAAATGCACTGCGTGTACAAATGTGCATTTCATTTATGTAGGCACATATAAAAATATATGTATGATTAAAAATACAAAATGTACATAAGGAAGCATGTCCTTTTTTATATCAAAGGCAAAATGTATATTTTTGTTCAGGGTTTTATTAAAGAATGAATGGTGTTTGAAATATATTATCATTAGACTTTTTAAGATATCAAACATTTAAAATCATTATCAGTCCATCAATACCATAGTTTGTATACATGTCTATACAGAGAATGAACTCTGTGAACTCAAACTCCTCCTCAGATATTGTTTTCAAGCTGCATGCTAATATGAATCTATATCTCATAATAATTAGAGGTATTGTATTGCTTATATTTCTGTCATCCAGATATGGAGAAAGGGCCAAGGGGGCTGATGAAGAAGGGATTAACTCTCATCCTGGTCGGCCATATTAACTTCATTCTTGGAGCTATTGTCCATGGCAATGTCCTCCGCCACATTTCCAAACCAGACAACCACATCAGCACTGAGTACACTGTCGCCAACATCATCTCCGTCACCTCTGGCCTGCTGGTAAGTCCTTATTTAAGCCGCTCATCCTTTGTTTCAACGTCAAATCTGCAGTGTGCGCCAAGAGGCTTAAGGTTTGTAGAACCTTTAAAAGCAAAGCAATCCTGATCAGATGTTTTTTCACCATGAATTTGGTGAGTTATGAAAAAACGGTTAAATTCATCCCAGTGTCTTCCTGTGCTCTCTGCGTCAGAATAACACATTCACCTGCAGTAAACCTCAAAGTGATTTGCACTGTTAGCACTTTACAGTTTTGGGTACTTTTCTCGGCAATCAAGACTGAACTTGCCTGTTTTAAAGGGGCTGGTGTTTCAAACCAGTTACTCATTGCCCCAAGGCAGATTTCATCAAAATGAGGTATGCGGTAAACTGTCAGATCTTTATGATTAGACGGTGTTAATGTCCAATTTCTTTGAAATGTACTCAATACTATCATGTACTCATGGGGTATTACATGTTTTACACAGGTAGTACACACATGACAATAAAAACAAGTAACTAAATATTTTACCAGCACTGGTTTCCCTCTGTAATCTCTCATTTACTGTCATTTGTAAGACTAATTTCTTTCTATTTGTTTGAAGTCTTCTTAGCCTTGCTCCTAAATGAAGAATGCAGCCTCACATCTTCGGTGCCAGGATTATAATTTGTGGCACATAATTTAATAAACCCGACTCTAAGGCTGAAACAATCATTTTGTTATTTGAATCTTCCAGAGCATTGCCGCTGGGATTGTTGCCATTGTGGTGTCAAGGAATCTTCATGTGTTAAAACTGGTAAGAATTTAATTAGTTTTCAACTGCTGATATTATCACTCCAATCATTCATCCTGTGTTTGCTCAATAGTCACCGCCCGGTCTGTTTTCGTATGATTTTCTCTCCAGCAAATAGGGCTTCTAATTGCATCATTCCTGAACGCCCTGCTGTCGGCAGCATGCTGCACGGGGCTCCTATTGGCTATCAGCATCACTGTGGCCAGCAATGGTGCAGCTTTGATGAAGGGATGCAACGACACAGAGGTGCCCATCAACGCTCGGTCCCCTGTCAGTGCCCGGTGTCCGTTCGATACAACCAGAATCTATGTGAGTCTAAACATTCCTCTGACATTTCCACATCACTCTCCAGCTCTTTTTCTCTTTGTCTAACTGCTGCAGCTTTTGAGGGGTCAAATTGAAACGAAGAAGAAATGTCAACATCACAATCAGAAAGGCTTTTATTATCCCTGGGGATAGTTGTATTTCATAATAGTTTCTCCATTTTCGAATAAAATGTATAAAAAAATATACTTATAAATAGAGATGTTTAACTGAAAATGTGCACACAAATTATAACCACAATACATATATAAAACATGTAATTTAAATGTATATTCAGTAGTGTATTAATAATAATTTAGATTGATACTAGTAATGTAAAGTGTAAATAAAGCCAAACTGATGTGAGTGTTGCACAGTTGAATAAATAATGCAGATTTATTTCATACATTGTCCTCCACGTTCCGGTCTCTTCCGGTCTCTCAGGACACCACCCTGGCGATGTGGATCCCATGTGCTTTCTTGGCGGCATTTGAGGCTGGCCTGTCTGTGTGGTGCTTCATCATTGGATTGGCCCTCAGAGGGCTGGTCCCTTGTGGGAAAAGCTACATCAAAGAGCAGGTGTGTGGGGGGTGTAACTAAGGTGTGTGTATGTCTGAATCTCTGTCTGACTCAGATGTGCACTCGGTCCATCTCAAACACGCACACAATTGATTCACATAAGTCAAAAGAACATGCAAGCCCACTGGCTCACGTTAACACAGACTTTACACAACCCTTATCCTTACTTTCTTTTCTTCCAGTCTGAGCAAGGAGCTCCCCACAGCCGACGCCTGATTGGAAAGCGCTTGAACCCTGATGCCTAACTTAACAAAAAGCAGGAAGGACCCCACTCCGTGTAAACAAGCACAGCCAAATCCCAAAAGGCCTTGCTGCACCTGTATTGAGATCAGAAAATGTTGCCCTACAGTCAGCTAGGTGAGTGTCACTGTCGAACAGAATAGGAATCAGATTTAAGAAACTGTTCTTTGCCCTGCAGTATCACACAGCCCCATACCCCGACTCACGGATGGGTAACCAACTGTATTTGTTTTCAGTTATAAACCAAACTTATATTGTGTGTTAAGCTGTGAGCGGAATGCAGTTCCTAATGGAACCCATAAATGGTTCATCAGCAACACATTCAAAGAAAAACCTTGCACAATGTACATTTCATCAGCAGCCGGGTGCAGATCCTTTTGTGCAGATAATGGGATTAGGTTTGGTGTGTGGAAGCCTAAATATATAAATGAAGTCTTATCCGTATCCAGCCATGACTGTTGAGTTTTAATGGTCCAAATATGCAATGTCTTTCTATATGAAGAAACCTCGGTTTATGAAGAAAATACATTTTTATATCTAGCAAAAATATTTTAGATGAATTTAGGAATATTTTAGCTTTTTATTCATTCAGATTTTTAGCCAAACGTATTGTATTGTTTTTTTCAATGCTAATGTTTTTTTATTTTACAATTTCTACACAATACACTCCATTGCAAATCCTATTGCTCAATATTTTCTTATAAACACGTTTCATTTCAACAAATAATGATGGTAAATTCTAGCTGTTGAATTGGTACATGATAATGTGAAATTAAATTATCAAAATGTTTTGTTGTGTTTGCTATAGAAAATTATTATAATTTTATGCAGATATTGTTTTTGGCTTAAATTTAAATGTCATATGCTAAATTGCATATTTAAAAGTTGTTTCTTTAAGTAGATCATTTGAAATACAACTGCAGTTATTGACATGTTCATTTGAGTTTCCACTAAGGCTTTATGTTGCAGGCAAAGCATTGACTATAGTTGAACACGCCACATTTCATGTTCTTTTACATTGTCATCACTTAAAAAATATTTTTTTTTCTACTGGACACATGTTTTTACTTACCCGTCGCTTAAAGTTCAGATTGCTAAAATGCAGTGCCATGTGGAAATTAAAAGGAAAAAAACTGCATTGCTGCAAAGCTATGTGGATTGAGTGCATTAAGTGAATATATACTACATTCACAAATGCACTAAATCCACATAGCTATAGTATACTGTGGTTAAATGCCAAGTGGAGTCATGTTAAGAGGTTAAACCAGTATGTGGGCCAGCAGCCTTAACTGGCACAGACCCCCCACAACTCAATGCCAAAGAAGATCAGATCAGTGGTGAAACGGTTAATCTAATGCCATGCTCAATTGTGTGGAAGGGAATCATAGCACGCAATACTAATCCTCAGGCTGTCAGGGATAAATATTGACATAGCACTGACTGATACAATGACAACAAATCTGTTTGGCCATTTCCTGTGAAGTTATTGATCTCCCATATATGAGGTTTGTGTGGAATGCAGTCCATTTATAAATGTACCACAATTAATAGTTAATTCCTAATAATTGTCTCGTATAGCAAATCACTAATTCATACAACTTACATTCTTGGTGATAAAATTAAACTTATGTTTTTTTCTTTAAATGTATTTACTTGAAAACCTACATGTTATACAGTTTTAAAACACAGTGAGTTGATTTAATGGAATAAAGTACAATAACCAGACTAAATGAATAATAAAAACAATTAACAGACTTTAAATGTAGGCTCCTGAAACAACTTGAGCAGGACAGCCCATTAGGACAAAATCATTTTCATGACTGATGTGTTTCCCTCTTTCAGCCTAGCTGTAAACTAATGTGTGTGAAAGGTTATGAATCTGTTGCCTGATAGGTTTGAACACATTTGGATGTACTGTTCATTTCATTGCTTGCTTTATGGTTTTTCTAGAATGTCATGTTTAATTTTTAATAAAGATGTTTTGTAAATGTTACCTTTTTAGATATTTGTGTGCTTTTACTTTTGCCTGTCCATCATATATCTCTGCAGCCTTTGAGTTATCTAGCACAAGCTGTGTTTTCTTCCCTTGTGCCTTGAAATGTGAAAGTGCACCCGCAGAATTTAAAATATCAAATAACGGTTGATTGAATATTAACATAAATTTAAAAAACTGCATGTCGCCCCCTTTTAAACAGAGAGAAATCAATGATTATTCTTTTTCAATAGTTTGTTTTTAAACACTTTTCTGAAACCCTTATATTTACCATGCTATAACGGAGCTGCAAATCCAGGACCCAAAATATGGACACACATTTTTCCTTCAACATTTTGTGTTCCACTTGTTAAGACATCTAATGATAATCAAAAGCATTTGACAGCATGTCTTATTTATGGTGCATCTGCCCTTTTTTATAATAAAACACACAGCTTCTCGCCAACCAAATGCTATTTACCATGTCTAGTCTATCGCTATTGTCTGTCATTTATATAGCCATATTTATACAGTAAGCCTGCAGCATGCAACGTCCAGTAGGACCAATTTGTTCATGTCTCCCTGCGCGGGCACGATGAATCCGCGGCCACGATATGTCTGCTGCACGCTGCTGCAGGCAACCAGCTGCAAACAGCGGAGCAGCGGAGTACTGCAGAGAGAGGAGCAGCGCCGAACAGCTCGTTATTCTCCACACAAGGTAAAGCTTTTATAATTGTACCATTACACAGGAACTATATTTCACGTTTTGCTTAATTCCTGTCGGCAAGCCAGACACACTTCGACTATAATGCTCTTAAGGAATCATGTGCGCAGAGCAGCGCGCGGCGGCTGAAGACACTGCGGTGACAAACACACACTAACCTAAGATTGATAAGCCGTCACCGTGTGTGCCTCAACACAGCGAAGATGCATGTATTGACATTTTTAAAGGTGTGTGCTTTCTAGAACTAGCTATGCTCTCCCACAAATACAGATACCGTTTAGGGCTGTGACCTGTAACGTTACCGCACCTTCCAGAGGTGTTTAGTGCAATTTAACATGATCAATTTAACGCTAGCTAGCTATCAGTGCTTGGGTTTACGCAAGTCGTTTATCGGTCGACTCAGAACAGTTTCTCGCAGTTATGAATTAAAACTCAATTAATGGACACGTTTATTTGCGGTTTAATTTCAAAGGCATACTACCGAAGCTTATTATCTCAAAGTTTTCTGGGTAGTCAACCATAAAGACACCGGGTCTCAGAGTGTGAAACATCGCAGGGAAACGCTACTGTTGCCCGGCCAACCTCACACAAACATGAGTGTGTGATCCTCCGCAGGTGTAACGTTAACACTTTTCTTGCTTTGAACGTGTTTTCAGCACTGCAGTCTGCAACATGAACTGCGTATGACCCTGCTGACTCAACACATAATAACAATTTAACATTGCAACAACACTGTTTAAGAAATGCCTACCTGCCTACTACCCTGTAGATCTTGTGTTTTTGAATCCAAATGTGTATTAAGGGTGTGGCTGATCAGAGACAATACCAGATACAGAACAACTTTACTCTAAGCCCACTCTGCTTGTTTGACCCTCTCTTCTTTGTATGTTTAAAACCTGCAGGACCTGCTTGATGTATCCACTCCAGTGAATGTGAAAGATGAGATTTGGAGACTTCCAGGTAGTCGGATGAGATCATTTGGAGGATGATTACACGTTGTGGCCTCACCTTCAGATGTTCCTTTGAAACGTCACTGGAAACAGAGTGAGGAGACACAAACAGAAGAAGAAAGAGACGCCCAGTAGCCCAGAGGAGACCCCAGCAGACGGCTGATGGTGGATTTATTATTTCGGCGACATGCTTTCAGTTTAAGGATGGAACAGGGGATTACCAGGAGGACAGGCAAATCCATAACATGTCTTTTTTAAATGAGGAACAATTCAGATGGCGCATTCGGAGATGTTAAATGAAAAGCAAATATTGCAATGAATGGTAAATTCAATGATTGACACAAAGAGCCGCTCTAATCATGGCGAACAGATGAATTGGGACTCCATATACAGCGTGTACATGCCTTGAGGATTTCATGCTTACCTCCACCACTGACACTCAAAATGGATTCAATTGCTTCTAATGTTAAGAAGCTTTAAAAACAATTCTTCATGTCTTCTTGGCTATCTCAATGCTGTCTGGGTGATAATGAATTCATCAGACTAAGCCACTGTGGAGAAATGTCTAACGCTAAGATGCAATCACTTGTTGGAAGACGATGTACGAAAGACTGGTTTTCAAAGACTACAACAATGTACTGCAGACAAAGAGTCTGTTTTTCTGTCCTCCTCATCCCTATCCTCCTAATCCTCTTCTCCCTGGTTACACCCGCTGTGTCCATTCATCTGGAGTCCATGGAGAGCCACAGCGAGTTTAGCTGTGAGCCCATCAGACTGAGAATGTGCCAGGATCTGCCTTACAACACCACCTTCATGCCCAATCTACTGAACCACTACGACCAGCAAACGGCTGCACTGGCCATGGAGGTAGGTTGTTTTACTCGTCATTCAGTGGGTGCGTGCTTTGTGTCCGGGTGTCTCTGCCCATGGGGAAATGTGATCATTGCGGCCATGAATGAGAGAGAGAGATGAAATTCTTATTTGTGGTAAAAATGGTGCATTGTAAAACACTGTTCCGTATTGTGTAACATCATCAAGGAATCAAACAGTAAGTCCCCACCTACAACAAATGCACACGTCTTTGTCTTGGTGACATGGTGCAGAAAATGTAAACAACTACAAAGCGACAGTCTGCAGTTTCACAATGTGGTGTCAGGCACCTGCTGAGGACAAAAGGACGTTACATACAATGCAAAGAAACTGTGCAAGAGAAAAGGGGCACAGATATGCTTATATTTGTGAGGTCAAAATATGTTACATACTTATTAACATAGCCTACATTTGTTTGGCAATCCTCTGCTTAATCAAGGCAATATTGTAAGATTACCCCTGTACTAATAATTATACTCAATTTAAAGATTTGCTTCAATCAACCAGAAAATCATCAATATCCTTTATCCTCAGGGTACACAGAGATGGTTTGCACAGAAACAATGGAGAGGCCTTGTTTGACACTGAGAGAAAAACAGGTTCCTTGCCCAATATAATCTGCAGGCTATAGTGGAACAAATTGGATACACAGAGCTGCATGTGGAATAAAGCGTCTTTCACACAGGCATGGAATATCAAAGAGTTAACAGGAGAAGGGAAGCATTGAGCAAAGGTGATAGTCGATCTGCGCTCCTCATATTACAGCTCTGTCCTCTCTACATGTTACTGTTCCTGGTAAACTTAGGTGATGTCTGTACTCACTCAGGCACTCATGACCTTACTTGAAAGTTAACAGTAGCTGACAGAAGGAAATATGAGCAGCAACAGTGGGAGACATTTGAACAGAAAGCCATTAGGTGATTTTGTGATTGATACTTCTAAAGAAATATTTTTCTGATAGGGCATAATTAGTTTTAAGCAAAAAAGGGAATAAGGTGCTATGTTACACCAAGTCTGAGTGCAATAGTAGGCACACACCATCCATCTATATCATGTTACCTCTTTTTCCTTCTCCTTTGTTACACCCCAGGGAGGGAGTTTGAGCGCAGAGCAAGGTGTTGCTCAATAACTAAACCATAATTACATGTCTGCAGCAAGTATTTGTTCGTAACAAATGTTTATGCCACTGTATTTGGCATTTGGACTGTAAAACTACGTAGTTATTTCCTAACGATAAAATAAAGATAATTTCTTCAAAAAGAAAAAAATATCAAATCTATGTCGATAGGGCCCTGTCTCTTTTAGTGGGAGAGTCAGATTGAGTTGTTTTAATCTCTTGTTTATCAATTATTTGTGTAAGTCTCACTACACATGCTCAGTGTCATCTTACCACCCATGTTATGACTGCCATGTAAATACTGTGGTTTGTGCTTTGGAGAACAGGAAAGGATAGCAAATACAGTGAGTTGAATGAAATCTGCCTCCAGCTGTTGGCATATTAAATTACCCCCTGTTGAAAAGCAGATGAATTCGGACATGGCTAATGTTGGCTGAGCATGATGTGTGTTTATACACGGGGCTTATTTTTATGTTTAGTTGATGTTTAGTTAATATTTTGTCATGTCAAAACCAGATAAATGTCAGCCAAAAGATCAAGACAAAATACTCAATGCTGCTCTGTAAATCTTTAATCACAGAAGGGTTTTTATAACCTCTTCTCGTGTCAAAAAATGAGGTTCATGCGACTCACAGGATCACTGCTGTCTGACGCTGCTTTTGTCCCTTCAAAAATTATAAGAATGGAAAAAAACTAAATGCACTGACAGCTATGCATTTTCGTTTGAATTGATGATGACACGTCTTAAGTCGTAGGATTCACTTGGTAGATTAGGGGCGTGCAAATGTTCAAATCGTGGCAATTCTTCAGTGTCATGTCAAAACACGCTGTGTCAGGGATTGTAAAAAGCATCTGTTGTTGAACTTGATTTGACCCAAATGAAGGAGCCAAGTAACTGACACCGTCAGTCCCAGCAGTCATGGAAGAGACAGCTTTCTGAAGATGGTGGAGGAGCAACACGAGCCCGTTTAGTTTTCCTGCTCTGGTTTGCTTTGACCAGACATGGTAGTCCTGGTGGGATTCCTGGAGGAAATGTAATAATATCTCTCATGGGACAGGGGCTGAATTATACCTACGAGTATGTGTGTTGACAGATCGGTACGTTAATGTGCCGGTATGAGATTGTGAAAATGTAACTGCGTGAAAACTTTTTAAAGCAAAGATACCACATTTAAAACAAATCTTTAATTACTTTAGCGAATAGACAACCACTACAAAGTAATGATAGTATTTTTTTACTTTCAGATTAAGAGGAATTGTCATTTTGAAATTATAATCAATCAACAGGAAATGTGTCTTACAAATCGTATATATAACAGCCATGTCACATGTTTTTAAGAAACCCTAACTGAGCAGGTGAAATGATTGCACCTTTTATTGTTATAACAGTATCAGTTGAACTTTCATAAAACAGTAGCTGTGGTCCAGAGCAGCTGCACATCAGCACAGCTGGTCTAACATCTGGATGTTCTTTATCAGCAAATGAAACCTCATTTTTTTGGTTTTCTGTGCTCTGATGTGTTGAACCGGATTAAGGTTTGGTGAAATACAAATTAAATGTGAAAAGATTGTGTCTGACCATTCATCCTTAACCACTTTGGACTATGACAATAAACAACTGCTGCCAAATCAGCCTGGCGTATTTCAGATGCCTTTAGGAAACTGGATCCATTGTCAGCAGCTGTTGTAGTCTCTTTTTGGGTCATGTATCGCATGGAGAATTTTCTTCTCTGCCTCAGATGCAAAGTTTTCGTGTCTTGACCCTGGCAAATACTAGTAAGCTGTCATGCTACTTTTATATTTGTTGTGAGATGCCTTCAAGTCATTGGCTGAGACATATCCAAGCCCTGGATTTAACATTTTCACAAGGCACTCTATTTTGAATAGTGTGGAGATTTGCCCTCAGTGAGTCCCCCGTTTTGGCTGACATTTAAAATACTGCCTTTTCTCTTTTTTCCTTTTAGAAGTACCAAGCCAAAAATGGATTATCCCAGAATGTGTGTGCACGATTAACATACTAGGCCTCATTTATTCAGTGTTTGAGTGACAGGCTCAAGCCACAGAGCAGTATTTTTCCTATGTGTAATTGCTGAGCCTAGCTGAGGGTTAACTGTACTCTAGTTCTTCCTGTGTGTGTGAGAATATGAGTGACGGGGGAGGTTATCGGTGCCAGCTGTCATCTCTCACTAGTGCTAACTAGCTGCTAATCTCTCTCTTAGTCCCACAATGAAGTCATTGATTCCCACAGACCAACCGCCACCCCATCTGCCACAATAGTCAATTAAACCCGAGGGAAAAGGGTGAGAGGGACTGAAACATAAGAGGGGACAGTGGAAGAAAAGGGAGATGAAATTAGAATGGGAGATTATGTCTAGTGAAGTGATTTCTTCAGCAATATGTTTGTGTGTTCCTCCCCGCGTGCATGCTTGTTCGTCTTCATGTCACGTAGGAATATAGACTATACTTTCCATCTGCCACTGCATGTTATGGTTCCCAGAGGATGTGCTGCAGGTTGTGACATTATTTGAGCTGTGCATGTTAGACACAGAGATTTAGAGATTACATCATTGGCGTTTTGTGTCGGTGCTATGAGACAACAACTGATCACATTGCAAGAACCTTATGTTGAGGTCCTCTCAAAACTGAAGAATATTTTCTAAAAGAATATATTCACTACATATTCGACACGTTAGGCTAAGTCATCCGTTTTTATAGAACCATACTTAACATGTAATATGTTAAAGGTTCACATTCATTAAAAAACAAAATGGCAGCTTTTCTGTGCATAGAAGTACTGGTGCAGTTACAGATAAAGATAGCAGAAAAGAGGGGATGTATTTATGGGTGCACTGTGCCAAAACTCAAGACAGTTATGAGAAAATGTTATCATGCCCATTATAGTCCGTTGTGAAATATTTAAATAAAAGGCCCGGGTCATGCAAGAGATGCGTGCCTGAGGAACCCAGATGTCTGCTTGGCCGGGGACTTTCCCCTCGAGTTCATGAGAACATATGTGGCTACTGCACTGGAGTTCCATTTTTGCTGCAATTTAGGTGGGATAGAAGGCATTCTCAACATCATGCTTTATTCAAATAATCCTTCCTGACTGAAAGACGGTTAATTAATTGTTATTCAATCTCAACTCTGTGGCAATTATTGAGACTCTGGTTTGTAATGGTCAATAAAACTCGTCAACAGAATGGTAGCCTAATCTGTGCTGACAATAGCTCATTGAGTTTGTCCGGACAATTCCAGCACAATCTTTTGTCATTTGGCTCCTGTGAGTGAAAGAGATTACAGAGCCCCTGGTCTAACGGTCAGTCGGAGAAAGGCTCCTTTGGGCTACAATAGGACACACTGTGTATAAAGCAAATAGACAGGAAGCCTAGTCCTGAATGAAGGTATCTAGATCTGTCTGTCAATATGTCTACACGCCAACTACCAAGACCAGGATTTAATTTTGTCTAATCAATTTAAGCAAGGAATATGTAAGTGCAAGCAATGGAATAACATGATTACCACGAAACCCACCTTTGCATGCAGATGATTTGAAATCACAACGCTGACAGTGTATAATTGATATGAGACCTACGATTTATTTATTTATTTAGCTAATGCAGCATTCACACTAAGCACAGTAAGAGAATGGGCTTTATAGATAACAGGTCGCTAAGATTTGTCTTGGTGTATCCATGCATGTAATGTTTAGCTATGGAGACCATCTTACTTAGACTCATTTATTATAGTATCCGTGTCTCTTTTTGAGTTCAACGGGAATCACCGCTTCATGTAATTAGGTTTCCTTTCATTCTACTGCACTACTGTCACGCTGTGGGAGAATAATACATACATGGGCAAGAAGCAAGGCGTATCAAACGGA